TTCTGAGACCCATTAAAGTCAAAGCTTAAGTTACAGCAGTGCAGTGCAAGAACAGCTGGTTTTCTCTGGTTGTTGCGCGAGCAAAAGTCTGTGCAGACCTTGATTGGGTTGTTCAGGGTTTGAAAGTTTTACAGATTTGACCGACTCAAAGACTGACAACCTCTTCGAAAATGTGTGCACCACAACGGCCTCTCCAGTAACTTCGAAGGTCGAAGAGATCCAGTGCATTTGGTGAGGCCGTCAGCGGGTAAAAATGACATCGTCTCCTGCGAAACAGAAGCGGTCTTGGCTTCAGGACAGCATCACAGTTGCTTTTCGCCAAAAATCAGAAGAAACAGCAGCAGGTTTGTTTGTGTGCGTGAGAGCAGGAGGGCAGAAGCAAGAACCTCCCAGGACTTCTCGAACTCCTCTCCTGATTCTAAGTCTTCTTCATTGCGCCATCGTCGGCACCGACTTCGAGCGTCCGGGCCTCTGTCTGTGTTGCGTGCCTTTTTTGGGACTTTTGGTTGGGATGATGGAGCCGTTTTGCAGATGTCGCGCAGCATTCATGTTTCAAGTGATCTCAAACGAGCCCGCTAAAGTTTTGTCCCAACGGCGCAGAAGTTGGGAGTCGGCAAAGAGCGTCTGCGAGGCTTGACCTCCTTTCTGCGCAAGGGCGACTCGCTGGTCTTGGAGGTCGGTAGCAGTCGTGTGGCAGCTGGCAACAGGTCTTCGGATGACCTACGGCGATCCGGAGTCCGGCGGAGACAGCAGCTCCGTGGAAGATCAGCTCCGAGGAGTGCGGGAGATCGCGGCGGCCGAGTTCCCCTTCGCCGCAATCCTCGAGAATGGCTCAGTCGTAGCCCTGGGGAGACGATGAGGCGGTGGATCGGTAGTGACTTGGGGGAACGAGTACATGGGCGGGGACTGCAGTGTCGTCCAGGAGCAGCTGCTGGATGTCTAGCGAATCGCAAAAAGCTGTTACTCTTTTGCCGCCATCCGCCTGGATGGCTCAGTAGTGACCTGGGGCGACCCCAGCGCTGGGGGGGACAGCAGCGCGGTGCAGGAACAGCGTCAAAATGTGTGGCAGATTCGTGGATCTCTCTATGCCTTCGCGGCCATTCGATGGGATGGAACTGTGGTTAACTGGGGAGCTCCGGAACCTATGCCTTCGCGGCGATCCGAGCGGACCGATCCGTCGTCACCTGGGGCCTTGCGGATTTTGGTGGCGACAGCAGCGCAGTCCAGGGTCAGCTCAAAGGTGTGAGAGAGATCGCCGCCAGCTTTGGCGCTTTCGCAGCCATCACGTACCTCGCACTCCGTGGTGACGTGGGGCGGAGAGCGTCTTGGTGGCGACAGCCGTGCAGTCCAGGGTCATCTCAAAGGCGTGAGAAAGATCGCCGCCTGCTGCGGCGCTTTCGCAGCCATCACCTCGGATTCCGTGGTGACGTGGGGTGGAAAGAGTATGACCGACTTCGCGCTGGGCGACGTGGTGGAGATCCAATGCACCGAGGATGCTTTCGCGGCCATCCACCTTGACGGGAGCGTTAGCCAGTGGGGCGATCCATTGGAGGGCAGCAGCATCGAGGCCGTGCGGGAGCAGCTCAAGAACGTCCAACAGATCCAGGCGAGCGGCGGATCGTTTGCGGCCGTGCTGGCAGACGGAACTGTAACTGTGGTCTGCTGGGGAAGGGAGTTTTGAGCGATCCGCTTCTCAGCATAAAAAAAAGACTCCATGCAGAGCGCTGCAAGTAGGTGCGCGGTAGCTGCAAGTAGACGCGCAATGCACCGAGTGCTGGTAGCGGCCCAGGTCCTCGCCGTCTTCTGGACGAGCACTTCGAGGAGGCCTGTCCACGTCGGCTCTGCGTCTGCGTCCTGCCGGTAGGTTTTGGTAGGCTGGCAGTCCTGTTCCTTGCTAGCTCTGTGACGGGTGTTTTTTGAGATTTGGCATTTTGCCCGAGCGCAATTCAAGTGACCATCAAGCATGGACGGAGTCAGGATCACTCGACATGAGGCACAGGTGCCCCGTGCTTGGCTGGCGCGCTTTCGCTTGCGGGGCGAAGGCTTGACGGAACAGGCGCTGTACCTGCTGGAGCCGCTGATTCGACGACATCTCGACGCGCCTTTCCCCTTCCATGTAAAGGCTCTGCTGGGGCTCAAGATCGAGAAGATGGACCTCCAGGGGGGTTTGATCCAGTCTTCGTCCAGAACATCGTTCCTTGGAGGAGCCTGCCGACCAACGACCCCGCCTACCGCGTGCACTACGTCGTCACTACCTTGAGGTGGAGGTATGAGTCTGCCGTCGAGTGGGCTACGCTGCCCGGGAGCGGATGGAGCATCGTGGGCTTCGAGTGGATGGATGTGCTGATCGCCCCGGGGCTGGAGATGGCTCCACCGCGCGGCGGAGCTGGCGGCCGCAACGTGAAGCTCCCCGAGTCGCTCCACCAAAAGAAAGGCATCTGGTGCCCTCAGGCCACATCGGTGCTTCGAGTTCTGCGTTCGAGCGGCCTTCCTCGGCGTGGGCGACCTGACCGCGGCGGAACGCAAGAACACCGTGCGCTGCACCGGCTGGCCCTTCTTCGAGGATGACCGTCGCCGTGGACGCCCTGCAGCGGACTCACCGCCCCGCGAGCTCGTCGACGTGGGCTTGGACTTCGGCGCCGTGCAGACCGACGAGGTCTCCCTCGAGCAGATCGGCGACTTCGAGATGGCGAACCTTGGTCTGGTTGAGATCATCGTCTACGGCTGGGTGGAAAAGACTTGGCGCGGAACCAGGCGAGTCGGCGAAACCCAGCTCCGAGTGCCGCTGCAAGAGGTGATTGAGGCCAGGAATCCCGCGACGACCATAGTCGTGTTGCTCCTGCACGAGGGTCACTACTCCCTCGTTTACAACTTCGACGCCTTCGTGAGCCAGCGAAGCTCCCAGATCAACGTTCGCTGGCGCAAAGGGCACAGCGTGATTTGTTGCCCCATTTGCCGAGCCAACTTCAAGACAGAGCTTGCGTTGAGGGGGCACTTCAGGACTGGCGGTTGTCGCCACGACTTCGAGGGGCGACGATCTCAGATCGCCTTGCCTTTGGCTGTGGAGGCGAACTTGAAGTACTTCACCAAGTCCTCTTGCGAGCTGGCTCCGGTCATCGTCTACGCTGACTTCGAGGTCTTCAGCGATGTGGCCCCCGAGCACGCGGCGGTCAAGGGCGTGCAAAACAGGGTGGCCATGCTGCCTACGTAGCGGTGGGCTCCTGTGGCTACGAGCCACCCGAGGAGCACAGACTTTGGATGAATCACGCCCGAGAGGGCGAGCCGGAGGACTCGGTGGTCGTCAGGTTTCTGAAGTCCGCTCAGGAGCTGGAGAAGCACTACAGCAACTGGCGCGAGAACGAGAAGAAACGCGTTCGGTGGACCCCGGAGCAGCGTGCAGAGCATCGACAAGCTCAAAGCTGTAGGGAGTGCGGCCTGCAATTCGACGGCGTCTCCGTCGAGAAGTGCGCCCATCACTGTCACGGCAGGGGCACCTACCTAGGTGCGCTCTGCCAAGACTGCAACAAAAGAGCCCGCACTCCCACTGATCTCACGATCTGCCTGCGCAACGGGGGGAAGTACGATTTTCACTTCGTGCTCAGAACCTACGCCAAGATGAAGGGTTCGACAGTTGTTCCCAGACGCTCTCCACGAGGTAGCGCCATCAGAAAGTTCGGCGTCAAGGAGTTGGCTAGGAGGGTTCGACGCGTCCGAGACCTGGAGGGCATCGAGCCGCTGCTGAACAGCAAGGTCTCGATCCTGCAAAAATCCGGGGAGACCAACCTCACCATGAGGATCGGCAGGCTTCGCTTCGTGGACACCCTCAACTTTTGCAACTCGGGTCTTGGCAAGCTCATTGAGTCGCAGCGCAAATGCGCCCTCAAGACGGCGAACGGCGCACTGGAGGGTCTTGAGCGAGCCTTCCCCATCACGGCGAGTCGGCATCCCTACCTCGGCGATCTTCGAGACTTGAGCGACCGGGGCGAGGTTTGGACGGCTCTGCTCAAGAAGCTGCCGATGCCTTGGGAGCACTTCCGGACCGTCGCCGACTTCGAGAGGCCACCGGTTTGGGACTTCGAGTGCTACCACAGCAAGCTTTCCGGACCGTGTGCCAAGGAGGACTACGAGGAGCTGGTCCAAACCTGCCGCCGCATGCGCTTCCAGTCCATGAAGGACCTCTGTTTGCATACCATTTTTTCACTAAATGTTGTTTTGGATGCCGGTTTGAGTGTCGCAGGAGGTTCACGACTGCTACCTGGGGCTGGACGTCACGGGCTACGCTGACGTCATGCAGGCATTCCGATTGAATTTCATGGAGAGGTACCACTTGGACGTCTTCCGCTACCCCTCTCTGCCGTCCGCGGCGTGGGACGCCGTCCTCAGAACGGGGTGCGAATTCGACTTGATCGCGGAGCGCGGGCTCTACCAGGAAATTCGCAAAGCGATGATGGGCGGAGTGTGCGCGGTCTTTCAGCCGCGCAGCGAAGCGAACTTCGAGGGGCTGGAAAGCTTTGACCCGGCTTTGCCGACCAAGAGATTGATGTACTTGGACATCAACAGCATGTATCCCGATGCCATGACCAAAGCGCTGCCGGTCACCTCAGGTTGGGCCGAGCCGCTTCCAGACTCGGACTCCGATCGACTGGAGTGGCTCCACAAGGTGCTGAGTCAGGAGGACCCCCTCAACGATTCGGAGGGCGTGTGCTACCTGCTCTTTGTGGACTACGACTTCCCGGAGGAGCTCCACGACAAGATCGACTGGCCTCCCCCAGCGAGGTTGGCTGTGACTTCGGCCGACGTCGGGCCCTACACTAAGGAGGCGGTGAGAAACCGACCGGCCTCCGAAAAGTTGATCCCCTTCCTAGGCCTGCACAAAGCAGAGGGGATCCACAGCAAGCGGCTTGCATTCCTCAGGAACAATCTCGGCGCTCGCATTTGGAAGCTGCATCGCGCCTGGTCTTTCGAAACCGACAACCGCCTGCAGAGCTTCATGGTGAACGCCTACCAGCGACGGCGAGAGCTCAAAGAGGCTGGTCGAGATCTTGAGCAAGGCTTCGAGAAGCTCAGCATAAATTCGATCTATGGGAAAACGGTCCAAAATCAAGAAAAATACCGCAACACTACGCACTACTTCGACGCGATGAGCTTCAGCAGAGCCCGGGCGGACCGCAGAGTCGCGGACTTCAGCGTGCAGATCATGGAGCGCGGCGTCTTCATGGGCTCGGTCAGTCGGGTGAGGACATCCCGCAAAAACTTCAATCGCAGTCCGCTTCAAGTGGGCTGGGCCGTCCTGGAGCTGTCCAAGCTGAAGATCGGCGTGCAGTACTGGATGGGGGTGAAGGCTGCGCTGCCGAGAGTCGTCCCCATCCTGACGGATACGGACTCCATGCTGCTGGAGATCATCGGCGAGTGCAACCCCACGCAACTGCTCGCGGAAGCCAACCTCACGCTCCCCGTGGAGTTCGACCTGCTCGGGGACCTGGACGCTAAGGACTTCGAGGACGCGGTCTCGCCCGAGGCCCTGGAAAGGCTCAAGAGCTGCAGGGGGTGTTCTAAGTGCCACCCGGCACCGGGACTACTTGAAGATCCACGAGGAGAACTCCACGAGGCACGACTCCTTCACGCAGCTGCGCTCGTACCAGCACCAGGTCTTCATCGTGGAGCAGCAGAAGAAGACCTTCTCCGTCATGAATGACAAGGCCTTCCAGCTCACGAAGGAGTACTGCAGACCGCTGGGTCACTGGCGCAATGCCTACCTCGGAGTCTGGATGCGCTTGGAAGGCAGGGAGCCGCTCATGAAGTTGATCCTGGAGTTCGTCCGGGGCCCGCGCCGATGAGGAATCCGAAGTGGGGCGAGTTGGCGAAGTCACTTTTTCGCTGATGCATGAACGATTTTGATGTGATCGCTACGTGATCTCAGTCCTGAACAGCCTTCGCTGCAGGCACTTTTAGTAGTAGGCTCTTCAAGTGAGCACAGTTTACCGCGGTAGGGAGAGGCGGTTTGGAGCCTGCTCAGATCGGGCTTCGTGGCTTCATGCTCAGTTCCCAGAGGGTGCAGTAGCAGCTGCCATCTTTTTCGCGGAGGGCTTGCGGGCAGTGATTGCGACAATAGCGCAGTTTGAGCATTCTAGATTCTAGGATCAACGCTGCGCGTTTGTCCCTCGAGAGCGCTCGTCTGGCACAGGAGTGAACAAACGTCTTGTGCTCGCGACTGTTAGGTCAAGTTTGCCAAAGTGGTGAGTGCTTCTTTTTTCCGCGGCGCAGGTGCTCATCACGCTCTTCGACCTTTGTGAGGCACGTGGGATAGGCGTCTCGAACCTGTCATGGATTGTTTTCTGCGTAGTCGTTGCCTGCCTCTGTCATGTTTGTACGGTCAGATCGTACTGCTTGTGTAGTTAGCAGCTGCGCTTGGTAGGACATGCGCCTCTCTGTATGGAGGGTTGTCCCAAACCCCACTATATCAACGATACGACCCCTGAAGTTCAACCCCCCTGAGAATCCCGAAATTTCGAGTGTGTCTAAAGTGAAGCCCTGAAGCTCTAGGACTCACGATTTTAGGGTCTCTAAAAAGCTTGCAAACAGCTACAGGCTCTCGATGTGTGTTGGTTAGGGGGGACTAGTGGAACATTCGATAGAGGCCTTATGGGGGTATCCAAGCCGAATCGACGAAACCGGGGCTAAAAACTTTGAATCATCTTTGAGTCATCATGGATTCATCTTGAAGTCATCATGGAATCATCTTGAAGTCATCATGGAATCATCTTGAAATCATTATGGAGTCATCTTGAAATCATCCTGCCCAAATCCTCGGAAAAAAGCGCGGGGTTCCCCGAGTTTCGAGACTGAAAACGCCCGAATCTCGCCTCGATCCCGGAACGTCGCGGAGATCGGGTGCCGAAGACCGCGCTACAAAACGCCCGAATCTCGCCTTGTTTTCTGATATCTCGGAGGAGCCTCGGAGAAATCGGGGGGAACGCCAAAGACCGTTTTCGAGGCTGAAAACACCCCGAAGTCGGGCCTGAAATTAATTGAGCCAATAGTCCCCCCTAACCAACACACATCGAGAGCCTGTAGCTGTTTTGCAAGCTTTTTAGAGACCCTAAAATCGTGAGTCCTAGAGCTTCAGGGCTTCACTTTAGACACACTCGAAATTTCGGGATTCTCAGGGGGGTTGAACTTCAGGGGTCGTATCGTTGATATAGTGGGGTTTGGGACAACCCTCCATAGAGAGAGTGGGCGGAGTGTTGACTTTTGCAAACATGTTTGTCATGCAAATTTTCCACTTTGATATCTTGGCCGGTTTTGCCAAACATCAGCACCTTCCAAGCTTGAGAGCTGGGAGAACTTGTAACACGGCCGAGATCTGGGCAGCAAAAGGCGTGGCAAGAGCAAAGTCTGAAAAAATTGCAACGAGTTTTGCTTTGACCTTTCTTACAGTGTGGCCGACTTTTGGATGATTTCTGAAGCAGCAACCACATAAACAAATTTGGATGTGTCTGGACTGTGGCTGAGGGCGTTTTGAGCAAGGTTCAAAAGTGCGCAGTTGCTTTGGTTTTGGTCTTGATTTGTTTTTTGTGCAGTGCAGACTCTTGCTAATTTCTTTTATTTCTTCTTGGCACGAATCAGATTGTGCTGTTGGCCTGGGTGACGAACTTTATTTCCGCTTCGTGTTTCAGAATTTCCTGGTGATTCGTTCTCTGTCCTTCCAATGTTGATCCACGCATTTTCTCGCGCAAAGTTTGTTTGGAGCTTCCTGCCGTCAAAATTCTGTTTTTTTTCTTTTGCTAGCGCAAAATTCGTTGGTTTCATCCGTGGACAGGCTGCTCAACCGAGCAATTGCAGTTCCTTCAAATGGCTTTCAAGCTGTTAAGAGCAAAGCTGCCCGCTCTCACATGTGTCAGGCTTTTCCTTTTCAGTGCAGCATTTGTGTTGCGCGGTGTTGAAATCCGGGGTGGTCCTGGATTTCCTCAGCCGTGCGACGATACCACAGAAATTCTTGGGTTCAGGACACACATTGCGCTCCTTGACAGGGTTTCTGGACCGCAAACTGGACAGAGGCAGTGCCAAGACATCTTTTTTTGGGGGAGTTGAGTATCATGAGGGCAGGGTGAACAGGCAAGCGAAAGTGCTTTCTGATTGTTCACTTAACATCCAGCAAACTTCATCGCACCGTTCGGCTCGACTTGGCAGCTCGTAGAGCACCGCCTGTGTGCTTGTTGCCGACATGGAGGCAAAACTGTGCGTGATGTATAAGAGTGATCTATCGTTTGTGCCATGACAGATCTTCCCGACATGGGAAGGAAAGATGGTTGCAGCTTTCCGGACAGGGACGTGCCCAATCCGTGAAAGCATGCCCAAAGGTTGCCTTCGTTGCTCCACTGTCGGCGGCGGGAGTGGCAGTCTGCAGCTCAGAGTGTCTGCCGGTGTCACAAGCCACTTTGCATGCGGTGCAGTCGCTACCGGGCGTGAGGCTCCACAACTTGCGCCAAGTCATGTCTCCACACAAGGCAGAGTATGCTTAAAGAGAGGCAAAGCTAATTCATCAAATCCTAGCTGGGAGGACCATCAACATCATCCTGGTCTGCGCCCGCAGCATTTTGCGCAGCGGCCTTCGCCGGCATAGCTGCAAGCCGGAAGCGAGTGGCGCGAAAGGCAGAGCAGGCTCGGATCGAACTCTTGAGAACGCGGTAAAGTTTTCACAAGCGGGAAGCATGGGAATTAACGCCAACATGGCGAACACTTTCGAGGAATGAAATCTCCCGAGAAGACACAAAAATCTATTCCAATCCCGCAGCTGGCAGACGCATCAGGCTCAGGACTAGGCTGAGGAATATCAGGATATTATGATACAGCAGGTGCGCCGGGCGCCAATATGTCTCGGGAATAGAGGGTTTATGCACAAATCTATGCATCAATTAGCAAGGCCCGATTTTTGCATGTGATGATCTCTGGCCGGATTCTCTGTGCATGCCTGCTCGGCGATAGTAATGTGGACAGAACTGGTCTGAAGCTAAAGACCCTTGGATGTTTGGTGGTGTGCGAAGGAATTGGCCACATTGCCGAAGCACATGCAGCCTGTCGACATGAACAAGCACAGGACTTAGCGCAGATTGCTGACAAGCTTCAGTGTTGGAAAAAAGCTGTTGCAGAGTTCATGCTTTGCGGTGCACGGGTCATGTTGAGGCACAACACTGGAACTTGCGGTTGCTGGATTTTGTTTGTGTTCGGTTCTTGTGTGTGATTACCATCCGGTCCGAGGGAGTACCCGGCCTACGTGAAGGGCAAGAACGAGAACTCCATGATGCCCCAGCTGGTGGGCGACTGGGGCACGCCGGTGCCAGGTAGCTACAAGGAGTGCCTGACCCTGATCGGGCCAGATGTGGAGGTCGGCCTGTCGACCGGCACACCCTGGGATCCTTTGGGATTTAGCAAACTTTATGACCGGAACTTTGAGTTCAA